TCCCATGAGCCTCTCCTGCCCTGAACCCTTCACACGGCCCATTTATTTGAACTGGCTCTCACCCGCAGCAGTGCCGCGCTCCAAGGAAAGACTTGTAAAAAGTCATCAGGTCCTCATTATCGTCATTGCTATAATTATTTTCTATATTTAACCGTGCAAAATGAGGCCAAATGAGCTAGCAGGAACCATCGCTGGGACACGTGTTACACTGGTACGGCCCCAATTTTGCACATAATTTCCATGGCAGTCATTACTGTCCCTTTCATACCAAGAAAAGTTCTTTGATCATCCTTCGCAGACTTACCAACTTATTTACTAACTATCACATCACCACTTGGTGAAACAGGTTGACAAGACGAACAAACGAAACCCAACCATGATCAATGAATGGCCATACTTCATATCAATGAAACCTATTTCCTTTTTTTATTGATTTTAACATCTTTTTTGAGTTTCAGAAGAAATCCGCCGCTGCTACTGTCAGGCAGTTTAACCTGGATATATCTCTACAGTATTTACCAGAGAAACTACCTCCCATGTCAGTTGAGAGACTGTTTTTTTCCATGTGGTTCTTGTGGTGGTCCGTTTGACCTCAGCAGTTCAGGGAATTTGTGAGCGAGTTTGTTGAGCTTGTTTAGCTCAAATTCACTTCCATTATTATTAGATTGACAAGTACCCCAGAGAGGGGCAGGCTGAGCCAAAACCACCCAAAGAGCTCTTATTAAATGCAAAGGTTGGGTCCTTTCAGCAGACATTGCAGTTACGTAAGGAGCGTTTTATTTTTGGAGCGGTTAGCGGAGGCTTTACATACAAACGAGGGGACACTTACGCTGTTTATGTTCAGGCGAGACGCTGGTAGGGGGGAAAAAAAGCTGCCTTCAGGATGCAGAAATGTGTGAGTCATGAAAGGGGATTCAGAGCAGAGCTGGTGGTGGTAGCATGGAGTGGGAGGGGAGGTGAGGGGGGGGGTCTGAGACAGCTGGGTGCTCAGGATGGATATTATGCTCCAGGTGCGAACATGCATGGCTCAGCTTTGCACGATACGCTGCTTCGTAATGACAAAAGCATATAAGGGTGGTAGACCTTCTGAAGGCCAGATGTTGCCACAAGGGCCTGAAGGAAAACACCCACATGTTTTGGATTTTTTTGGTAAAAGGGCCCAGAAGAAAAATACATTCCAGGATCTTACAGGATTAGATCAAATCAAGTGGTTAATTAGCAGAAGAGATTCAGGTTTTTTTTTTTTAAACTTAGTTTGTTAGCAGCAAACAACTTAGCATCACTGTCGTTTTATTTGAGGGACCACTCAAATCATTTCCACTGAACATTCTGACTTTGACTCATTCATTTTGGGCATAATGTGTCTCAGATTCCATTTTTAACCAGAAACACAACACGTGACACTAGGAAGCAGGAGAACGTCCCCTGCTTTGCTGAGTTATAACAGATAACTTCCTGGAAGCTAACACTCAGCTGTGGGTGAAGCAGAAGGGCCTCACCCTCCCTCCCCGCCTGCTTGACAAATGGCAAACACATGTGTTTATAGGCGGATCAGTGGCAAAGTGATGGAGTCACCGCGTTTGTGAGTAACTGGTGTTTATGCCAGAGATCTAACGCCCGCTTTAATAGTCAGTTTCACCTGGGCCAATTACAGTGGTGCAGCAAGCTGAAACAAACAAAAACAAGAAGACAGCCGGGACTTCCCATCATGCATCACTTCAAACAGATCTGCTTAAAGCTGCCGGTCATTATGACAAACAGGCTCCTTGTTCAGTGAGACTCACGTCAATGCTGTGGTGTGTTTCACATGATTTGTAATGTCCGTTTTCATGGTTGGAATCAACCCGTCACCATTGGTTGGTCTGTGTTTTATTGGCTGAAGCTTTTGTAAATATACATGGCGTGTATGTTTAACCAACCGCGAGCTCAAATAAAAACTGGAGGCCTGTGAGAAAGGAGTGTAAATGTGTGAAAATGTGTCCAACCGTAGGCTCTGTGGTCGTGGCACCTGATACGGTGCATGTTTATACAAACACTGGTGTCACATGTGGAGGTGTTTACTAAATCGCTGACAACAACCTGTAATTGTGCAGCATTCGCAAAGTAATATTATCCAGTTAAAAACAAACGACCGTTAATGTGACAGTTAATGTTGTTTTCATGCAACGCTGCAGCAGACAATCTCACTAAAGAATAATAAACTAGATATTTTTATTCATGTCAAAAGGTAATCAGAAATATTATATATTTATATATAATATTATTCACTATTATTCACAGTTTGCTTTTCATATCCAAGGTCAAAACCATGTGGTGACTTTTAGCTGTGGATTCAGAATCCGACATGTGACGACTAACTGGAGTGTGTATTGGTGCCTAATGGCCCACTCAGTGTCGTCGGACAATAGCCAGGGAAGCCAGGCCCTACAGCAGCAGAGATAACAGTGTTTCTATCAAAGAGAGTTTCACATGGGAACTGTCTGATTTAAATGTTAAAAAAAAAAGAAAAAAAAAGAGGAAGGCCCGCGTCGGTTCAAGAAAGCTTCAAACCAGAGTGGGCTTCCTGGTTCCCACAGTGAGCTACTGAAGGCCACGGCATCAAAACACAGGCGTACATGACCGACAGTTACCATGCAAATCAAGCTGTGATATTTTCAATGCCCTTCGTGTTTCTCAGAATCTCCCGTTCGTAGTAACAGGTTTGAGTATAATTTCTCATTTCATCCTACATGATGAGATTTAATCCGTCTGTTGTTACGCCACTAAAAAGTGAGTATAAACTTTTACGGCATTTCCCTGCTGAATCATGGGTGACAATGCCAACATAAATTAAAAAACCAAAATGCATTAGCAATTATGTGATTTAGATTATTTATTTCTACCAAACACATTAAGAACATTCGTGGCTACTCCCCAGAGTACAATCTGTTCAAGTATTAAGCAGCTGAGAAGCAGTATTTACGCTCAGTTAACTCCTTCTCTGTCTAAATAATGGCTACGGGGAAAAGACCGGTGTATTTACAGGCACAATTAGCCTTAAATGCCTCTCTCGCAGACACAACGGAGGCACACACTCTGGGGGCTTCTCCTATCTTCAAAATCTGTGGTTTTTGACTCATTATCCCTCAGCATTAGCTGGTCCTCCAGAAAACTGCCCCGCAGCAGTGAGTTCAAGCTGAGAAAATCCCACTAACAGGTCTACAGTAGATCCGGTTTGTAGGACATCTGGCATGGAGCTGCAGGCTAGTGGCAACTCTGTTGAATAATGTGAAGGGTTCATCAGCACGACGGACCAATGGGTAAACAAATGCTTGTCATTAGTAGTAAATATTCCTATTCCCATAACTGTCGGTAACAAGATAACGCTGCTACTGCTTTAGTTTTCTTACTGTGCTGCCGTTAGCGGTGAGCTTAGTCGGACTTAAACGTGGGAAAGTGTCGTAAAATAGTGAAAGATCACAACCTTTGGACCAGTAGTGCTGGTTATCAGTGGTTCCATAGTGTAGCAGTTAGTCTGTTTCCAGCTTTTCTGCTAAGCTAAGCTAACCAGCTCCACTAGATTTGTTTATTAACATCTCTCTCTCTTTCCTCTCTTTCCCACAGAACCTAATGGCCAAAGCACTGTACGACAATGTGCCAGAGTCTCCAGAGGAGTTGGCTTTCCGTAAAGGAGACATCCTGACAGTCATTGAGCAAAACACAGGAGGCCTGGAAGGCTGGTGGCTCTGCTCACTGCACGGACGCCAAGGCATCGCTCCTGGGAACAGGCTGAAACTGCTGATCGGACCCATGTTCGACTCCCAGTCACCTTCCCCCACTGCAGCTGCAGCTGCTGCCCAGTCTCCTCAAGGCTACCAGCAGAAGGTCGGCTCAGGGTCTCAGGGCCTCTACCAGGTGCCCCCGTCCCTCCACAGTCCACAGCAGCAGAGCATCTACCAGGTTCCTCCTGGACAAGATGTCTACCAAGTCCCACCTAGAAGTGGTCTTGCTGCTGAAAACACACCAAGCAAGGTGAGTGTTCCTACGCCGAGGGGTTTGACAAATGACTACTTTTACTATCAGTGAATCTCTCATTTCCTTTTTATGATTAATCTGTGGAAGGCCAGTAATGTGGAACAAAAACCAATTATTGTAACATATGTGTCCTTCAGTGGTTTAGTCATTTTAATAAAAGTCACTGTCAGATTAGACCTATGACTAACAAATAACATGAAGTACACCTGCCGTACAGCAAAACACAGTCCTTAGATCAAAACAGACCAAAGTTTGGTTCCTCATAGAATGTCATGTTATTACCATTAGAGTCACCCCCTGGTGGTATCCTGCCATTTTAACTTTAATATTTAAGACTCGTTTCTCATTACTGCACAGCTTTGTTAACCCATTGATAGACTTCAGTGGATTTTAAAACATTAGCCTCGACAGGCGTGTACCAGGCTGTGATGATGGATATTACACATAAAGGGAAGAGGCCTTTAAGGACCTTCTTCGTGACCTGTTGTCCTGCAGTCTACCAACAGCCTCTCTCTGAGAAATGACCTGTTGTCCTGCAGTCTACCAACAACCTCTCTCTCCGTTTCACACAGAAAACTGAGAGTCCAGAGATTGTAGGTCTGATGTGAAAGGAGGACATGGGTGTGGCGGTCCTGGCGTTCACCACAAAGCAGGGTAGTGTTTTTGAGCCGAGCTCCGCTCCCTTATTACTTGTATATTGGCACATTGTGTGTAGCTGAGCCAGTGGAAGCCGCAGAAGGGCAGTGAATGTGGGAAAAGGTTTGGAAAAGCAAACAGCACAGCGGCTGTTTTTCAGATTCTGCTGGAGCCCTGCTGTCCTGAATATAGGGTTGTTTCTTGTATTTAAATGCTGTAAATGGTCACAGCTTAGCCATTTCACTTGGACTGGTTATTTACAGACTGAGTACTGCTGTTCTCCAGGCATTGTGT